ATCCTCATATGTAATAGCCCAACACTTATTTAACGGAGAGGGGGGAAAATAGCCACTTTAAAAATAATTAAAGGGAATAAAGTGGTTACATAAACAACACAGGGAAAAAATATGCTATATGTAAATAGCACGGGGGGAAAAAGTGCCATTTTCCCTTAAACTTATTCAAATTAAACCATATTATATTATTACTAATTAATAATATTATTAATTACTAATTGCTAATAATCCACATTTTTAATTGGTCATATTTGCTAACCTAAACCATTGCTGTAGCCCAATAACCAAAACCCACAAAACCCAAATCCTAATCAGATACAGACTGACCATCCGACTTCTCCTGCTGCGTTCTCCTCCTTCTCTCTAACCTTGTCTGAAACTGAAGCTATTCTACTCCATTTGCCTGCTGCGCGGTCCTCCATCTCTCTAACCTTGTCTCATGGTATTCTTCTCCTTCTGCCTGCCTACTGCGCTCTCTTATCATTTTTGGTTTTAAATGTTATAGTATGATTGTTTAATTTTGGTCCGTACGTCATTATAGAATCATCGGTATTATTTTTCATGTTTTTCCCTCGATTTAATTTTCTTTAGTTCTATGATTCTATAACATAGAAGTTATAGTAATATCTGATTATGTAAAGGCTCTATGATTCGATATTGTTTGTATACTTGCATGTCTACATATTTAATTTTGTTTGTATAAATCTTGATTCTTGATTGTATTTTTCTGTAAAAGTTGACCATCGATTCAATTGATAATTTGATATAGATGCAAAGTAAGTCCTTGTATTCTAATTTGAGCTCTCAGATGTTAATATGTATATTGCACATGCAGCTGAAAAATATCCATCATTTTTTCAATTTTATGTATTTTGATCTCATTTTCTGTTTAAAATGGTAGTATATGCAACCTAATCTGTAAATGAAGTCAGATTTCTTCACATAAACAGAAGAAAAAGAGCTGAAGATTTAAAAATTAGATGGTTATGTCATAAAGATAAGCCTCAATTTTGGGTATTTTTTTAAAATGCAGAGATTTTTAATTGTGACATATAATGATTTAGTTCTATGAGGTATGGATAAAGAAAAAAAATCAACATGTGAAGGGATGGGGTTGAGAAGAATAAAGAAATTGACGGTATGGATTTAACTTACCTTTTCATCTGATATTTGCTTCCTCTTGCTTCGTACTCTTGTTATTTTGAACCATGATAACCAACTCCTATGTGTGTACTTTCGAACTTATTTGGGTTTGGATTTTATTGCTATTATGATCATATATTACTGCAGAAGTAAGATTAAAATGAAATCTTGTACAATTATATGTTACTGCAGAAGTGCAGATAACAAAAGATTTATGTTGTGAGCAAATTAGGGAAAAAAAGCATACAATAAAACAGTGATGTTTATGTGTAGATAGATTCTAAACTTTCATCAACAGTGTGATTTTCATATGAGATGCTATCAGAATTCTATTTTTTTTCAAGAGAAGGTTGAAATTTTGTATTTCTAGCATTCTATTCTTATTCAAAAAAAAAAAAAAAAGTTGAAAGATGATACAGATTTACCAAATGTGCAGGTGTTTTCAATTCTAAATCTTAGCACGCCTTATTATTCAAGCAACTATCTTCTTCATCCTTGTGAATGCTCTCCCAACATCCCTTATGCAGCTCCACCATTTTCTCCCTCTCACCTCCATGTACAGGCTGTTTTCTGAATAGTGAGGGTGTATTTATAGTGTTGTAGGTTTATAGAAAGTTAGGTATATTTAATGTTTTTTTTTTGAAAGCATGTATATTTAATGTTAGTCTTGAGGATTGCAGAAGGTATTTTAGATCAATAATTCTGATATGTGAACAACCTTTCAAATACTAAAATATTTAAATCATAATGTAATGGTTTTTTGATAACAAAAGGTTCCAAGTCCAATATACATGGGTTAACGAAAAGTTTCAAAAGCTATTAATTAATCAAAATAGTCCAGCAACCAAAACGATGTCGTATTAACTGGGCGGGAACTTTTGCCAAAATGCATTTACTCCTTCTTATTGCTATTTTATATTAGAGGATTTGTTATGTAATGACTATGTGATGTTTCAGTTTGGATTCTTTGAACTTTGACTTTGAACTATCAACTATGTGATGTTTGGTAATTGGTACTTTGATAGTAGTGTGTTTGGACTGGATTGCTATTTTGATATATGGTGTTTAGACTTTGGGTTTGGACTATGAATATGTGTTGTTTGGTAGTATGTTCCGAACTTTTTCAAACCGAACTGAACTATAATGTTAAACCGAATGGTATCATTTTTAAAAACTGAACAAACCGAAAAAACTTTTTTCAAGTCCTAGCCTCTCTTATTTCCACCCCTACTGTCAGAAACTTCGAAAGTTTTTTTTTTTTTCCATTTTTTTTCTAGGTGCTTTTAGTTTAAAGTGAGATTGAAAACCCAGATTCATTAGAGCTACAAATCAGTATTATTTTGTTATCTCCCTGGCTTCCCGGTGGGTCTCAGGTAAGTTTCACCAATTTGAATTTTACATGTTTGAAATTCATTCTCAATTCTCATCAATTGACGAAGATCCTCCTTTCTCTGCTGACATTGTTTGTATGGTGAATTTTGAAAATTTCTTATTAATTTGAAATTTTACTGGTTTTATAGGGTTTGAAATAATTGAAGTGTGTCGCTTGTGGAGTAGTGCTAGTCACAATGGAAAAGGAGAAAATTGAGGAATTGAAGGTTCAAGCTCAAAAATGGCTGCGTGAAGCTGAGGTGTTGGTCAATCAGATACCTCCTACTCAACTTTATGCGGCAATTGGAGTTGTGTTAATCACCGCTTTTTTGTTCTTCATCAGTAATTTCTCATCTCAACTCGACTCTTCTAAATTATAATTTTTGCTAATTTTACTTAGCAAGGGGGTAACTCAATTATTTAGGGATGTTAGTTAACTCTGGTTTAGTTTTCTTGCATCTATAACCTAATGGAGGTCCATAATAGAATGCCCATTTGCCATTTTGGGTACTAGGTAAAGGGAAGGAATTGTAATGGGGGTGTTAAAACAGTACAGTTTTAGCAGTAAAGAAAGGTGTGGCTATACTCGGTCCTGGTATTATGAGTATTATGTATAGGTGCATATGCTTCCTTAGTCGTCGCCAAAATAATTAGAGCAGGTTTCTAGACCAGAACAAAAAATCTAGTTTAGTGTGGAACTGTGGATGCTCTTGTCCTTGGACTATTGTTGCCACAATGCCACATATTGCCAATGAGTGAAGAAAATATTTCTTTAAACCCTCTTCCATTTGAAAACTACAGTAGAGGATCAGAGAACAAAAACATCTTTCTTCCTGTATTTCCTTCCATCTATCTATTATAGTTTGGTCTAAGTCATCAATGGCTCCATCTTGTTATTTTAGTGGTTCTATATTTGCACATCATATAGATTTTGTTATATTTCTAAAGTATAACCTTTAATAGTTTGTTCTCTATTCATATCTTGCTTTATTGCAGCTTGGTTGTTCAAGCGCACAACATCTAATACCGTTGTACTCACTGGGCTTAGTGGGAGTGGAAAAACTATTTTATTTTACCAGGTAAGTTGTTAGTGCATATAGATTTTGAAAAGGAAATCTTTTACCGAGTTGAAGTTATTTGGATGCAATCTCACTTTGTAAATTAATTTTTGTTGCTGCACTAGCTTAAAGATGGATCATCACATCAGGGCACTGTGACCTCAATGGAACCCAATGAAGGCACTTTTATACTACACTCTGAGACAACCAAGGTAATGATTATTATAAATGTGTAATCACCTAAATAATACGAGTATCTTTTTTCTCCCTTTCATTTTTTCAGATCTTGAGTTCTGAATCTTTATATATACATAATTCCCTAAACTAGCTTACCTTGAATGCATTATGTGATTCTTTTTATCCCTGGCTTTTGCAAACCAATATGTTCTGTCCTGTATTAATGGATGTAGTAGATTTTAAACTTGATTTCTTTGCACCTGCTTTTATTCTTCTGTAGAAGGGCAAAATAAAACCTGTTCATGTTGTTGATGTGCCGGGTCATTCTCGCCTTCGGCCAAAACTTGAGGAATTCTTGCCTCAAGCAGCTGCAATTGTCTTTGTTGTGGATGCTGTAGAATTTTTACCCAACTGCCGTGCTGCTTCAGAGTACTTAACATTCAATCTTTTCTTCTCAACTTACATTGTTTCTGGCACTTGTAAAGTTGCATTTACATATTTAGTGGACAATTGATTTGAACATCTCATTTATTTTTCTCCTTCTGAAGGTACCTTTATGATATTTTGACCAAGGTGACTGTGGTCAAGAAGAAGATTCCAGTACTACTACTCTGCAACAAAGTGGATAAAGTTACTGCACATACAAAGGAGTTCATAAAAAAGCAGCTTGAAAAGGAAATGTGAGATTACATTTTTTTTAAGTTACTTTTTTCTCAATTCAGGCTGTTCTCCAGTCATCTCAATTGACAAAAACATGGGTATCTATAGTTTTAACTCACATGCTATATATAATTTTATTTGGTTGTTAATGAGGCACAAGTGACATTATTGTTTCTAATCATTTGCTTATGCATTTTGCACAAAGTGCAACCCTTCTGATCTTTCACTTTGTATTGAAAATGATTCAGTGACAAGCTTCGTGCTTCAAGAACTGCTGTATCCGACGCAGATATCTCAGACGAAATTACACTAGGGACACCTGGAGAAGCGTTCTCGTTTTCACAGTGCGAAAACCAGGTAGTAGTTGGAGAAGCTTCCGGTTTGACAGGAGAAATCTCTCAGCTAGAGCAGTTTATTAGGGAGAACGTGAAGCCTTAAACTGGTGGAGCAAGTTGAGCCACCCTTTCTGATATGAAGATGAACCAAGAGAGTATATGGAGATGCTGATGTATTACAAGTTTTGTTGATGAGATAATTGGAAATTTGCGGTGATTTTGAACAGACTTTGGTTTTTCTTGATGCCTTCTCTCATTGTTGTTACTTCCCAAGTAAATCAAGACATCCTTGATCAACCCTAACCAAATTGGTCAAATAGACGATCAGATTATTAATTTGGTAATCACAATGTTACAATTGGTCTTATTTGCTTCACCCTTAATAGTAGTGGTCTATGGGTCTTATTTGCTTGACAAGTTTCCTTGTAACCCAGAAGACAGTACACTGGCATGGTCAATTATCAAACTGAAAATACTATTTGTATTTTTAAATTCTACTCTCAACTTTTACTTTATTTTACAAATTTTAGATATAGATAACTTTTTTCTAGATTCACAAAATGAAAATGTCTTATCCATGCTTGCCACATCAGGGAGTATAATTGATAGAGTAAAATTTGAGAGTTCACATACTAAAACTCATTATTAACCATAAATGGTCAAGAATGAACCTTCATTAAGGTTAAAGAGAAACAACCGACACCCAAATACTAATTCAACTATAGACTAGCAAGAATCAAATTTACATGAGATAAAACCAAGGTTGCAAAAATCGCTAGGCGTTCCTTGAGTGCTCATTTTTTTTTTTTTTAAATTTTTTTAAGATTTAATAATTATAAATTATTTAATACTTTATTTTTTAATACTTTATTTGTTAATATTAAAATATTAAATATTAACCTAAAGTCTAAAGACATCTAAAATTGTAAACTGAACAAAGATTTAAAGAATTAAAATACAATTCCACAAAGTCATAACTTACAAAGTATTAATATTAGAGTAGTTGATTTTTTTTTTTTAATTACATTTTTTGAGCTTGCGACAAATTTGAACGATTTAGAGTTATTTCGTTCAAAATGACGTCGTTTTGAGCGAAATAACTCATTTAAAAAAAAAAAAACCGAAACAATAGCGAGATCACACACTTGAGGTCGTCCATAGCGAGTAGGCCCAAGATCATTTTTTGGGCACAATTGATCTTGACCGCCACGAATTTGACTTCCCATCTTTTGACATGAGGCAAGGTTCCGACCTCCGGCGGGAGCATGATTGAGATTTCTATCTCGATAGAATTCCCCGTGAAACCAGATAGCGAAGTCCTCACCTGTTCGAGCTAGGTGAACATATTGTTGAGATTAACAAGAACTAAAAACAATAATAATGACAGAAAAGTAAAGAGGCAAGATTTATGTGGTTCGGCGATGTGCCTACATCCACATGAGTATAACTATTCTTTTATCAATTTTGATGGTGATGGTGTTGATATCACACCTACAGATACAACCAATGTATTATAGGCATCTATCCCTATACAATGGGCCCGACCTAATATGCTCCACTCCTATTCCTTATATGAGACAAACTCATATTCCTAATCACTATATGAGACAAGCTCAACAATTTCCACCTTGACGAATATGCCCTTTAGGAGAAAAGACAACTTAACAAATCTCTACCTTAGCGAATATGCCTTTTAAGAGAAAAGACTTATCACAATCTCCACCTTGGTAAACGCCCTTTAAGAGAAAAAGACTTATCTCACATATACACATGTGTTAAAACAACCATGCCCTTTAACAAAATGTTACAATTGTTACTTGTTAGTTTCGAAGATGCCGAGACAAACTCATAATCATATCGGAAATAAGATTGACCAGATATGCACGAAAGAAACTGATTTGGGTACAGAAAAAAAGTTATTGAGTGGCAAATGGCAAATTATATTGTGGAACTGTGTCCACCTTGCAAGGTAAATATGGTTCTAAAATTGTTCATAATTGTGAATATAGAGTTCAAAAATTATGAATATAGAGTTCTATAATTATGAACATAGAGTCCAAAGTACTATCTTTTACTTCTAAAATGATTTTCAAAATTATCAAACTACTCTCTTTAGCTTCCAAAATGATTTTCAAAAATTTTCATGTACTCCCTTTTGCTCCTAAAATGATTTTCAAAATTATTAAACTATTTTCTTTAGCTTACGAAATGACTTTCAATAATTTCGAAGTACTCACTTTTGCTCCTAAAATGATTTTCAAAACTATCAAAGTACCCCTCTTTAGCTTCCCAAATGGTTTTTAGAATTATCAAAGTACTCTCTTTTGCTTCTAAAATGATTTTAAAAATAATCAAACTACATACACTCTTTAGCTTCTAAAATAATTTTCAAAAATTTCAAACTACATACACAAGCTTGAAAGACAACAACGGGAACTGGGAATCTGATGAGGAGAAAATTAAAAGCATGTTACAGGAGCATTTTCGAAATCTCTTCATATATGGAGGATACGGCAACGGCGAACTCAAGGTATGTATGCCCAAATTTAAACACACTAGATCAAACTAACGTCTCTACTCTTTGCAGGAGTGTCACAAAGGAAGACATAAAGGCTGCGTTACTTGAGATGGATCCCTACAAGGCACCAGGCCCGGACGGATTTCACGCTGGCTTTTACCAAAAAAACGTGGAACGTCATTGAAGCAGATCTAACCGACAAAATTCTGGAGATTTTTCACGGGCCCAAAACGACGTCGTTTTAAAAAAAAAAACGCGTCATTTAGTTATAAAAAAAAAAATTCGCGCGCGTTTTGCCGTTAACGGCGTTATTTTTTTTTTTTGGATTATGAATGTACAGTTATGCCGTTATGAATGTACAGTTATGCAATTATGAAATTATGAACACAGAGCTCTAACATTATGAACTTACAATTATGAACATATATAGTGATAAAATTATGATCATGGAGCTTTAAAATTGTGAATATAGAGCTTCGAAGATTATGAATGTATAGTTATGGAGTTATGAATGTACAGTTATAGAGTTATGAATCTACAGTTATGGAGTTATGAATCTACAGTTATGAGATTATGAATCTACAGTATGGAATTATGAATGTGCAGTTATTGATCGAATTATGAACAAAGAGTTCTAACATTATGAACTTACAATTATGAACATATAGTGATAAAATTATGAACATAGAGCTCGAAAATTGTGAACATAAAACTTCGAAAATTATGAATGTACAATTATGAAGTTATGAATGTACAGTTATGGAGTTATGAATGTACAGTTATAGAGTTATGAATGTACAATTATTAACATATAGTAATAAAATTATGAACATATACTCCTATAACAAAGTAGTCTGAAATTTTTTTTTTTAAAAAAAAAAAAAAAAAAAAAAGAAGATAACAGTGCCTAACGGCACTGTTACCCGTGTCCAGCAAGCATGCTGGACACGGGTCCAACGCATAATGATTGCTTGTGCAACGTAAAGTATAAACTGGTCACAAAAATCATCACTAACAGACTGAAAGACATTATGAATCAGGTAGTGGGGGAGGAGCAAAGTAGCTTTGTCCCCTAACGCCAAATAATAGTTAACATTGCGGTGTACCAAGAACTTCTTCACACCATGAGAACCAAAAGAGGGGGCATGAAAGCTATGGCCCTAAAGATTAACCTAGAGAAAGCTTACGATAGGCTCTCTTGGGTTTTCGTACGAGACACGCTACAAGGTTTAGGCATGGACGGGCACTGGATAGACGTTATCATGGAGTGTGTTCAAACACCTACGCTTGCAATTCTTTGGAAGGGCTCACAACTAGACGGGATCACACCCACGAGAGGCATAAGACAAGGAGATCCAATCTCTCCCTATTTGTTTGTTATGTGCATAGAACGCTTAAGCAAGATGATCAAAAAAGAAGTCCAGAATAAAGCATGGAAAGGGGTCAAACTCTCAAGGTATGGTCCCGAGTTAACTCACCTTTTTTTTGCTGACGATATGGTGTTGATTGCAGAGGCTTCCTTAACACAAATGGAGGTGATCAAGCGATGCCTCAAAAAATTCGAGCAAGTCTCCGGACAGAAAGTCAGCATTCAAAAGTCCCAAGTTCACTTTGGGAAAAACGTGGAACCTATATTGGCACAAGCCATCATAAGAGAAGCAGGATTTGCCTACACGGAGAACCTGGGGCGGTACCTCGGAGTACCATCGATACATGGGAGAGTTACTAATAGCATCTTTGCGCCACTCTTGGACAAAATAGAAGGGAAATTGGAAGGCTGGAAAGCGAAAAACCTGACTCTGGCAGGCTGCATTACTCTCGCTCAAAGTGTCCTGAATGCAACACCTTACTATATGATGCAAACGATGCTCTTCCCCAAAGGAGTCTGTGAAGCCATTGAGAAAAAGATTAGGTAATTCGTCTGGAGGGGAGGCATGCACATGGTGAACTGGAATGCAATCACAAAACCGAAAGAACAAGGAGGTATTGGCCTTAGAAGGCTAAAGGAAATGAACATTGCTTTCCTGACTAAACTTGGGTGGAGACTTCACACGGAGAAACAAAACCTCTGGGCAAGAGTCATTATGGAAAAATACATGCATGGCAAACCAGAGGACAGTGCCTTTATAAAGAAAAAAGAAAGCTCAAACCTCTGGAGAGGGGTCTGTGAAGCCTACCCCATACTCTCAGAAGGAGAGCGACGTGGTGAAGAGAACAACGAGATTTACTGGAGTCTTGAACCGAGTGGCCTTTGCTCGGTTAAATCTGCGTACAGTATTGCTTTGAATTCAAACAAAGAAAAGAATGGCCCCATGTGGACAACAATCTGGAAGCTAAGGGTCCCTAGAAAAGTTAACACCTTTGTCTGGCTACTAAAACGTAAAAAGCTAATGACAAATGTGGAACGCAAGCGGAGGGGTTTCACGAGCGATGCAAGGTGCACGGAATGCCATATGCAAGAGGAAGACATTTTACATTGCCTATGGGACTGCAATGTAACAAAGAAACTATGGGAAGTATTCCTACCTTATGGGCCTAATAGATGGTTCTATCATTTGAATTTTGATACTTGGCTTGTCCGTAATGTTACAGGTAAGCTAGATGGCGGGAGAAAAGGAGACTGGGCAGGCCGGTTCGCGATAATCGTATGGTGGACTTGGAAATGGCGATGCGACAGAATCTTCAATGGCGGAAGTTGGAGCTTGGAACGGAGAATCAACTGGATCAAGCAGCAACTCGAGACTATAGCGAAGGCATACGCTCACCAGAAACAGCCCAAGGCAGTGTTGCAACCCACTAAAGATCAACGGATCACTGGACCAGAATGGACAACTCTCAACACAGACGCATTGTAAGATATATTAAATATAATATATATATATATATATATATATATATATATATATATATATATATATATAATATTTGAGAAGAGAGAGAGAGGGAGAATTGAATTCACTTGATTGATAAATTAAAATGAGTAATACGTCCTATTTATAGTGAAAGAAGAAACTAATTAACCATGAAATTAGGGAAATAAAGGTTGCACAACTCCACGTAATGTTGCCACACTGCACGTACACCCATGTATTCCATTACCATGTTTGTGCTTAAGACTTGGTTTAACAAATATAATAATAATAATAATAATAATATTATTATTATAACATTGCCTCCTTTAAACCAAGTTGGATATATTGGTCATTCCAATATCTTTCTTCAATTTAAGAAATGTCTCCGTCTTCAACGATTTTGTAAAGATATCTGCAACTTGACATTCATTTGAACAATACTCAATGTTGATTTGTTTTTCAACAACCAACTCTCTGATTTTGTAATACTTGATATCAATGTGTTTGCTGCGACCATGAAAGACTGAATTTTTGGACAACGATATTGCTGACTTGTTGTCACAAAAAATAGTTGTAGATGCTTCCTGCTTGTGTTGTAAGAACTCCAAAATTCTCCTCAGCCAAACTGCTTGAGTAGCACAGTTTGCTGCTGCAATATATTCTGCTTCTGCTGTTGAAAGTGCTACAATCTGCTGCTTCTTTGACGACCAAGAAAATATGGCTGAACCAAGATAGAAGGCATATCCTGATGTGCTTTTTCTGGTCTCAACATCTCCAGCCCAATCACTGTCTGTATACCCAACAAGTTTCACAGCTTCATTTGTAGAGTAAAAAATTCCATCATTACTCTTACCTTTGACATATCTCAGAATTCGCTTTGCTGCAGCCCAATGTGATTCTTTTGGTTCCTCCATGAATCTGCTAAGTATTCCAACTCCAAAAGAAATATCTGGCCTTGTTGCCACCAGATACCTCAGACTTCCAATTAAACTTTTATAAGCTGTAACATTCACATTCTTACTACACTCATCTTTGGACACCTTTAACTTTTCAGCTACCGGAGTTGAAGCTGGTTTGGAGTTTTCCATTTTGAACTTTTTCAAAATATCAGCAGCATACTTCTTTTGTGAAATAAAGATTCCACCATCCATCTGAACAACCTCAAGGCCAAGAAAGTAAGACATAAGGCCCATATCGGTCATTTCAAACCTCTTAATGAGTGCCTCCCTGAATTCTGAGATTAACTTCAAGTTATTTCCAGTAAAAACCAGATCATCAACATACAGACAGATTAGAACAATATCATCAGAATCCGTGCATTTGACATACAAAGTGTGTTCATGAGGACATCTCATAAAACCACTTTCAACAAAATATGAGTCGATGCAACCATACCACGCCCTAGGCGCTTGCTTTAAGCCATACAAGGCTTTTCTCAACCTGTACACTTTGTTTTCCTCCCCTTTCTTCAGAAATCCTGCAGGTTGCTCAACATATATTTCTTCTTCAAGAAAACCATTCAAAAAAGCAGACTTGACATCCATTTGATGCAATTACCAATCATTTTGAGCAGCAAGAGAAATAACCATTCGAACTGTATCAAGTCTACTTACAGGAGCAAAAACCTCAAAATAATCAATACCTGGTTTTTGCTTGTAACCCTTTGCTACTAACCGTGCCTTAAAACGGTCAATTTCTCCATTTGACTTGTACTTCGTTCTGTAAACCCACTTCACTCCAATTGGCTTCTTTCCAGGAGGTAAATCTGTTAACTCCCAGGTACCATTCTTTTCAATGGCACGGATCTCCTCATCCATCGCCTTAAGCCAATGAGTTTCTGTAGTAGCCTCCTCAAAAGTTAAAGGATCACAATCTGCAAAGAGAGCAAATTGAACAATCTCTTCATCAGACAGGTCATTATCATGACCCAAAACATAATCTTGCAAGCGAGCTGGTAAGTGGCGCTCGCGCTGAGATCGCCGAACTGACGATTCTGGCTGTGAAGGAGACTGTACATTATCTGGAATCGGTTGCTCTTCAAAAATATTTTCAACAGCAGGAATAACAACTGAACTTTCATCTTTAGCTAACCAATCCCAGGCACCATATTCATCAAAAGTGACATCACGACTTATAACAACCTTTTTAGTTTCAGGATTGTATAGTTTATAAGCCTTTGAAGCGTCACTATAACCAATGAATATGCATTTCTCACCTTTATCATCCAACTTCTTTCTCAATGGATCTGGCACATGTGCATATGCCAAACATCCAAAAACCTTGAGATATTTGATAGAGGGTTTTCTCCCACTCCAAGCTTCTTCGGGTGTCTTATCCCGGACACTCTTAGTTGGACACCTATTCAACACATAGACAGCACAAGCAACAGCTTCTGCCCAAAAAGGTTTAGGCAGATCCTTGGATTTCAACATGCACCTTACCATATCCATGATAGACCTATTCTTCCTCTCAGCCACTCCATTTTGTTGTGGAGTGTATCTAGCTGTCATCTGATGTTGAATACCCTTCTTCTTCAGAAAATCATCACAGGCAATATATTCTGTACCTCTATCAGTTCTCAAGATTTTAATTTCATAACCACTCTGCTTTTCAGCAAAAGCCTTAAATTGTTTGAAAACATCACATGCTTCAGACTTTTGCTTCAGAAAGTAAACCCATGTTTTTCTACTGAAATCATCAATGAAAGTAATAAAGTACTTACAACCTCCATGTGAGGTAACCTCCAACGAACATAGGTCTGAGTGAATAATCTTCAACTGTTTTGTAGCTCTCCTTGACTTGCCCACGGGAAAGGGATCTCTGTGCTTCTTCCCAATCACACAAATCTCATAGATACGATCAGGGACATTCACAACAAGTAAATCAGAAACAAGTTCCTTTCTCGCAAGATAGTTTAACCCAGAGAAATGGAAATGCCCAAACCGCATATGCCATAACCAATTATCATCACAAACTTCAGAATTAAAGCAATCAAGGAGAGTATGCTTAATTTTCAAAGGAAATAGTCGATTTTGGGACATATTTACCTTTGCAATCAAAACTCCTTTAGCATCTGCAATGGTACAACACCCCTGAGCAATATGTATCTTATATCCTTTTTCTGACAACTGACCCATACTCAACAAATTTTGGTGTAGTTCAGGAACATAGAACACATCGGATATAAAATTGTGAGTACCATCCTTCAACTGAATAGAGATTTTACCTTTTCCCAAAATTGGCACCTTTGACTTATTGCCAAACGTTACTTCAGACTGGACTGATTCATCTAGTTCGGAAAAAAATTCTTTCTTCCCACACATATGGTTACTACACCCAGTATCCAAGAACCATATGTTCTTATCTGCAGAAAAACTATCGCTGGCTAAAAGTAAAGTTTCAGAACTCTCACCAGACTTTTCAGCAGTATTTTCAGCAATGTTTGCTTGATTTCCACGATTGTTGTCCTCATTATACCAACAATCCGCAATCTTGTGCCCATACTTGCCACAATTGTAGCAATGAAATGGAAATTTACCTTGTTTGGTATTACCTCCACCTCTTCCTTGGTTGGAGTTACCACGTCCTCCTCCTTGGTTGAAGTTACCATGACCTCTTCCACCAGAACCTCCTCTTCCTTTTCCACGACCTCTACCAGATCCTCCACCTCTTTGATTAGTGCCAGTCACATTAAGGGTGACTTGACTCTTCAAAGCTTCTTCTGCTAGTGGTTCCGATTTTGACGCAATTCTGTCAATATGACTTTCTACCATACCTTTCAGCTCTGCAATTGATAAGAGCTCAGTTTTGTGTGACTCTGTGATCGAAGCCACCACATGGTCATACTTCATCAGCATAGTTCGAAGAACTTTTTCAACCACTGCATCATCTTCAATCGTATCTCCATATAGCCTCATCTTATTCACCATATCAATAAGACGAGTGAAATACGCATCTACTGTTTCTGTAGAGGTCATCTCACAATTATCGTACAACCTTCTCAACGACTGCAACTTAGACTTCTGTGCCCGATCGACTCCTTTGTGTGACACCTTTAAGATGTCCCAAGCTTGTTTTGCTGTTTGAGCACGAGCTAATTGCCCAAAAATGGAATAATGAACACCTTGGTGAATCTGACCCAAGGCCAATTTATCTCGCCGTATAGCGGCTGCATCAGCTCCTTTGGGTAGACCGGGATCAACAAAGATCCAAAGATTTTGAGCTTGCAAATGTGTGGACATCATAATTTGCCAATAATTGTAATCGAGTTTCCCGTCCAATTTGGGACCCGTCCATACAATATTGAAATTTGTAGCCATATTTCACTACGGGAAATATCTCGGGGTTGAAAGGTTGACTGGCTCTGATACCAAATGTAAGATATATTAAATATAAAATATTTAATATAATATATATTAAATATAATATAATATATCTATAATATATATATATATAATATATATTTGAGAAGAGAGAGAGTGGGAGAATTGAATTCACTTGATTGATAAATTAAAATGAGTAATACATCCTATTTATAGTGAAAGAAGAAACTAATTAACCATGAAATTAGGGAAATAAAGGTTGCACAACTCCACGTAATGTTGCCACACTGCACGTACACCCATGTATTCCATTACCATGTTTGTGCTTAAGACTTGGTTTAACAAATATAATAATAATAATATTATTATTATAACACGCATCCTACTCACCTTCAAGTCATATGACGGGCTGCGGAGGAATGCTACGTGACCATAATGGGATTTGGATTAAGGGTTTTAGCTGCATGATGAGAACAGAAAGCGCAACGGAAGCTGAGCTTTGGCAATCTACTTGGGACTGAAATGGGCATAGGATCAAAGGGATGAGAAAAATTAATCTTCTGAGCGATTCAAAACATGCGGTTGATTGGCTAAATGAGAACCCCGTCGTCCTCGGGCATTGCGGTGACCTTATTAGGTGGTGCAAGATCTGGCTTAACAAGGACTGGTCAGTTAAGGTGACATTCATCCCCCATGAAGAAAATGAGGTAGCGGACTGGCTAGCTAGAGAAGCTCCGAGAAAACTCTGCGACTGGATGGATTTTCATCACCTTCCGAGAAAACTCTGCGAATGTGTCTGCTAACGCTGGGTAACCCCCCCTCTGTCCCCAAAAAAAAGGTTTTTAGAATTATCAAAGTACTCTCTTTTGCTTCTAAAATGATTTTAAAAATAATCAAACTACATACACTCTTTAGCTTCTAAAATAATTTTCAAAAATTTCAAAGTACTCTCTTTTGCTAGTAAAATTATTTTTAAAATTATCTATGTACTCCCTTTAGCTTCCAAAATGATTTTCAAAATTATCAAAGTACTCTCTTTAACTTCCAAAATGATATTCAAACTTATCATACTACTCTCTTTAGCTTCCAAAATGATTTTCAAAATTATCAAACTACTCTCTTTAGCTTCCAAAATGATTTTGAAAATTATTGAAGTACTCTCTTTAACTTCCAAAATGATTTTTAAAATTATCAAAGTTCTCCCTTCAGCTTCCAAAATGATTTTCGAAATTATCACAATACTCTCTTTAACTTCCAAAATGATTTTCAAAATTATCAAAATACTCTCTTTAGCTTCAAAAATGATTTTCAAAATTAGCAAACTACAATCTTTAGCTTCCAAAATGATTTTGAAAATGATCAAACTACTCTCTTTATCTTACAAAATGATTTTCGGAATTATCAAAGTACTCTCTTTAGATTCCAAAATGATTTTCAAAATTATCAAACTACTCTCTTTAGCTTCCAAAATGATTTTCAAAATTATCAAAGTACTATCTTTAACTTCCAAAATAATTTTCAAAATTATCAAATTACTCTTTTTGCTCCCAAAATGGTTTTTAAAATTATTAAACTACTCTCTTTAGCTTGTAAAATAATTTTTAAAAATTTCAAAGTACTCTCTTTTCCTCCTAAAATGATTTTTAAAATTATCAAATTACTCACTTTAGCTTCCAAAATGATTTTTAAAATTATCAAAGTACTCTCTTTAACTTCCAAAATGATTTTCAAAATTATCATACTACTCTCTTTAGCTTCCAAAATGATTTTCAAAATTATCAAAGTACTCTCTTTAGCTTCCAAAATGATTTTTAAAATTATCAAAGTACTCTCTTTAACTTCCAAAATGATTTTCAAAATTATCATTCTACTCTCTCCAGCTTCCAAAATGATTTTAAAAATTATCAAACTAGTCTCTTTAGCTTCCAAAATGATTTTGAAAATTATCAAAGTAAAATAATTTTTAAAATTATCAATGTACTCCCTTTAGCTTTTGCTGAACCAGAACCCTATACAACACAACACCAATAACGGAATGCAACTTGCAAAATCAAACAACTCTACAACTCATGTACAATTAAAATAGGCATACTAATTTCAAAGGAAATCGAAACTTTAAACAAAAACAAACAAAAAATCAAACAAACAAACCCCGAGCAGTGGATGACCTCGTCCCCGGATGGGCACATTTGAGTTCCTTCCATCACCATTGGCCATCTGAGACGAAGAGTTGTAGCAGAGACGGTGGAAAGCAACAGCGTGTCGCAATCTAGGTGTGAGGAATCACAACGTGGAGGAAGGAGTCCAACTATGTCTATCTCGTACAGAATGCGAAGGCCAAGTGAAAAAAAACTCACCGCCCACACGCGTTACCAAACTGAAGAGCCTAAAATACCCCTCCTAACCCAAAATATACTTCAATCAGCAAATTAAAACATTTTAACAAATGATTAAACATGAACCGTAGATTAAATAAAATAAATGGCTTAGATTGGTTCCTAGGTTCCTACCTAAAGATGGGTTCCTATATGATAACCATATATGATTGTTATTATTATATATATATATATATATATATATATATATATATATATATGTACACACATACACACACACAAATTATAAAAATATAATTGTAGAATATTAGTATAATCACCTAATAATTATTATAATAATTAATTAATAGCACATATATTAGTATAATTGACTAATAATTATTATTATATTAATAATTACAGGATTATTAGTATAATTACAATTAAACATACATGGATCATTAGATTTATTTCTATAATAGTTACAATTAATTCATTCATATGGGGAGGATATATGAAGAAAAAAACAAATGTTATATGGTAAAAAGAGGTATATTTAAGGTATAAAAGTATAATTGCACATATATTAATATAATTGCCTAATAATTATTATGGTAATTAATAATATAAGCTAAACATAGATCGTTGTATTTATTTTTATAATAATTACAATTAAATTATTTCTCTTTTTTTCTCATATTTACTTTTGTAATAATATAATTACATATCGATTTTTTTAAGATAATCGTAGACAAATGAATCATATATTATTCAATTAATTGAGTGATACTTTTGAACCAATAGTATAATCTTATAATTAAATAAATGTATCATTAAAAAATAAAATCAATATTAACCGGGTCTTTTTTTACAAAATATCTAAGACTTGTAATTTTTTTAAGAAATTCTATTATTTCTAATTAACAAAATATATCTACTTTCCTAAACATATTTATTATTTAATTATTATATATATCTAATTTTTAATTATTTACCGGATTAATAATGTTAACAGATTATTAAGGTTAACAACGTTCTGTTTCTGTTGTGGCTTTATTGGTCATTCTGATTCGTTCTGTCGTAAGGTCTATGAAGAAGGCATTGAACCTGAAAACTATCCGTATGGGCCATGGTTGCGGGCTGGTACACGTCGACATGCAAAACCGGTAGGAGCCAACTGGTTACTCCCAGAATTGCCAGACCAACCGGTGTGTGTGCCAACTACTCCTGCGATCCCTACTTCTACTCCTGATGGGGCGGAGAACTCCTTTACTCTGCAGACTGATCTGAAGCGTCGTCGCAATGAGGGAACCACTTCCGATTGCATTGCCTCGTGTGACCTTGTTATGGCAGAAATGCCAAAAAACTCGTGTATGGCGGGTCTGGATGGCTAGGCTCGCCCGACCTAATGAGTACTCTTAGTTGGAACTGTCAGGGTTTGAGTGGCCCTGGAACAGTTCAAGAACTACCCAACTTCGTCTTCTTAATGGAGACCAAGGCTCTCAAATCTAAGTTGGAACGTGTGCGGATTAGATTGGGTTATGAAGGTTTGTTTACTGTTGATAGAGTTGGAATGGGTGGTGGATTGGCTTTGTTTTGGCAGGACTCAGATATGGCCAAGTTGATTGGGTACTCCAACAACCATATTGATGTTGAGGTGACTATTGCAGGAATAACACCATGGAGATTAACATGCTATTATGGTTTCTCGGATAGATCACAAAGACATCAATCTTGGGATCTCCTACGTGACTTAAAATCTAAATCATCACTCCATTGGGTGGTGATTGGAGATTTTAATGATCTTGCTAATCATCCTGAAAAGAGGGGATCAATTGCACACCCTGACAATCTTATACGTGGTTTTAATGAAGCTTTACAGGACTGTGATTTGTCTGACATTGGCATGCAAGGCTATCCTTATACCTGGCAGAAGGGTCATGGTTCGGATTCTTGGATTGAAGAACGATTAGATCGCGTGGTTGTTTCCTCTGAGTGGTTGGATCTCTTTGACGACGGTGCTGTATGGAATCTTAACACTGTTTCATCGGACCACAGTGCTCTTTTCTTTGATCCCCACAATAGACCCAGGGCCGGCCCAAAAGGGCGGGCAACATGGGCACCCGTCCAGGGCCCAATGTTGAAAGGGGCCCCTAATTTGAAATTTTACTTTTTTGATAAAGTTAAGAGAAAAAAAAAAAAAATTCTTACATGAGCAAAGATTTGAACCTACAACTTCAAAATTACTATTTAACATTAAATCCACTTAACCATTACAATCATTTAATATAATAATTCAATTAATAGATACTCCGTATATATTAGAGAATATTAAATTAATTTATTATTAAACTTCATATAAAGACCCAAAGTTTGAATGAGCACTATTCCAGGATTAGTCCAATTGATTTTTTAAAAAATAAAGTTTAAAAAAATTATATGTCGATAAAATTCGAAGTTATCCTTGAATTATTTTCAATTGGGGGTATACCCACATATATATACAAAATAATACACCTCCACTAAGGTTCGAATTCACTACTTCCTACATAAGAGAAACTTGATACAATTGGACCACAAAATTCTTGGTTATATACATAAACATTTTAACTTTATATATTAAGGGCCCTTGTTTTTACTTTGCCCGGGGCCTATAAAATGATAGGAACGGCCCTGAATAGACTGGTTAGAAGACATTGTAGACGATTTAAATTCGAATCTGCATGGTTACTTGATTCGAATTGTAAACAGGTAGTTGAAGCTTCTTGGATACAGACCCATGAGTTAAGCTTTCCTCAAAGACTGCATCAGTGTGGACAACGTTTGTGGCACTGGGGGAGGGATCATTTTCGGCGGTTTGGTAAACGCATTCAGCGCCTCAAGGATCGGTTAGAATTTATGAGAGGCAGCAGGAACTCTGTTGATGTGTCTGCGTATAAAAGTGCTGCGTCTGAACTTCGGTTATTGCTTGCTCAGGAAGAAATATATTGGAGGCAACGCTCCAAGCAACTATGGCTATGGCTAAAGGGAGGAGACTCTAACACAAAATATTTTCACCGCTTTGCTAGTCAAAGAAAGAGATCTAATTATCTTCACCGTTTGAAGAATGAGGCAGGCGATTGGGTGGTAGGCAACCACATGCGTGACTTAATTATGGGGTATTATTCTGATATTTTCCAAAGCTCTTCTAATGGTGCAGATATCCTAAATGGAGTAACTTCACGTATCACGCAAGAAATGAATACACAGTTGCTAAGACCAATTGATATTTTAGAGGTAAAAGAGGCCTTATTTTCTATGGCCCCAGATAAAGCGCCGGGTCCCGATGGTATGACACCCTCGTTCTACCAAGCTTTTTGGTCAATTATTGGTTATGATTTGTCTAAATTTATCAGTGACTGTTTTACCAATTGTTACATCCCTGGCGGTCTAAATGAGACTAATGTGGTCTTATTACCAAAGAAACGGCTCCCTGAACATGTCTCGGATTTGCGTCCAATAGCTCTGTGCAGTGTGATATATAAAATCCTAGCAAAGGTGATTGCCAACAGACTAAAAGTGGTGCTTGATGATATTATCTCTTCTACTCAGAGTGCTTTTGTACCTTTTTTTTTTTTGAATGTAGAGTGCTTTTGTACCTAATCGCTTAATTACTGATAATATTATTATTACTGGGGAAGTAGGCCATTTTTTACGTACCAAACGTGCAGGGCTTACTGGTTATGCTGCCTTGAAAATTGATATGGCGAAGGCATATGATAGGATGGAATGGCTGTATCTACGAAATATTCTTGTCGTTCTGGGCTTTGATACTGAATGGATAAATCGTGTCATGATGTGTGTCACCATGGTTACTTACAACATTCTTGTTAACGGTGAAAATGCAGGTGCTGTTACGCCAACTCGGGGAATCCGGCAAGGGGACCCTTTATCGCTATATCTTTTTATAATTTGTGCTGAGGGGCTATCGTTGCTATTACAACGTCAAGAGTCTATGGGAAACATTCATGGGATAAAGTTGGCTCGAGGTGCACCCACAGTCTCACATTTGTTTTTCGCAGACGACAGTCTTCTTTTTTTCCGGGCGAATGCTACTGAGGTAACAGTGATTATATTAAACAATGTCTGCAATACTATGAGGCGATTTCTGGACAAAAAGTGAACTTTGAAAAATCGAGTGTAACTTATAGTGCGAATGTTCTACCTGCTGTTAGCGCTCAATTAACAGTTTCTCTCGGCGTTTGTCATACTGAGGATTTTGGGAGATATCTTGGGCTCCCGTCTTTTCTTGGCAGGAACAAGACATCAGTATTTCGTTACATTGAACAACGAATACGTGACATGATACAATGTTGGAATAAAAAACTTTTGTCCAGAGCCGGAAAAGAAGTACTAGTGAAGAGTATAGCCCAATCAATGCCTATATTTTCCATGTCTGTTTTCCTACTGCCTTCATCGTTCTGTGATGCCATTGAAAGAATTCTTAACAGGTTCTGGTGGGGTAACTCATCCACTAATTCTAGGAGCATTCATTGGCTAAGTTGGCATAAGTTATCAATGCCAAAATCTAATGGTGGGATGGGATTCAAGCGCCTACACGACTTTAATGTCGCACTCTTGGCAAAACAAGGATGGAGATTATTGACAACTCCCAACTCCCTTGTAAGCCGCATTCTGAAAGCTAAATATTTTCCTCAGACAACATTTTTAAAGGCTGCCATTGGACATAATCCAAGCTTCATATGGCGTAGCATCCTTGCAGGCCAAAGTCTACTACGTGAAGGAGTGATACGTAGAGTGGGAAACGGTAATGATACACGTGTTTGGGAATGGCCATGGCTTGCTGATATTGATGATCCGAATCTACATACAAACTGTGTGGAGGAATTGAAAGAAACTCGTGTCTGTAATCTTTTAACTAATAATGGCACATGGGATGAAGAATTACTCAGAGACATTTTTTGTGAAGCAGATGTGGTTCGTATTTTACACACTCCTGTTAGTGATTGTTGGTGCTGGAAGGGTGATATGAAAGGGCAATATACTGTTAGCCATGGTATAAGATTCAAACATCCAACGCTATCGATCATCAATCCCCCTTGGAGTTCACCCAATGGAATCGGCTTTGGAGCTTGAAAGTACCACCTAACATTAAAAATTTTCTTTGGCGTTGCATGAGGAACGCCCTTCCTGTACGTGAAAATCTTCGCAGAAAGCATGTTTTTGCTGGAGGTGGATGTTTGTTTTGTGCTTCAGATGTGGAATCGGCTGTTCATCTTTTCTGTGAGTGTCCACTTGCGATCCAGGTTTGGGGGCATGCAATCACCTCAAATGGTCGTTCTTTGTCTGCTTTTGTAGAAGAGGTTTTTGATCTGCATGATTTGTCTAAGGAGTGGCATATGTTGGCACGGTTCTGGACCCTTTGGAAGGTGCGCAATAGGGGTGTAAACGAGTCGAGCCGAGCTCGAGCTTTGGTTGGTTTGAGCTTGAGCTCGTTAAGGAAGGCTCGGCTTGAGCTCGATCGAGCTCAACAACTGATGCTCGAGCTCGAGCTCGGCAATTTTCGAGCGAGCTCGAGCAGCTCGATTTTGGGTTCGAGTTCAGGCTTGATTTTGACCTCAAATTTGACCTGTTTGATTTTAAATTCATGTCCCAATTAAAAATAAACTACTTTGTTTTATTTTATCCATACATAATTGGTAGTTGTCGGCTAAGTAAATTGACAGAAACCGGAGACTACTCGACTGTCTTCGTGTCTCGTCTTCTGTCAGCTAAGTGCCTGAGCTAGGGCGTGGGGAATGGGGAGTTGGGAAGCAATAGAAGATTAGAAGGGTAGAAATTTAATTATTATTATTATTATTATTATTATTATTATTATTATTATTATTATATAAGGCTCGCGAGCGGCTCGATGAGCCACGAGCTTAGAATAATTAAGCTCGGCTCGAGCTCGATTATTAAACGAGCCGCTCGAGTTCGGGTCGAGCTCGATTTTGATCGAGCTCGAGCTGAGCTTTGATCGAGCGGCTCGCGAGCGGCTCATGAGTAGCTCGGCTTATTTACACCCCTAGTGCGCAATGACAAACTTTGGAACTCTAAAGATTGGACTATATCAATGATCTTATGCCAAGATGAAAATTTGGTGGCATTATGGAGTGAGACGTATAGCACAACTGCTCATGTTGACCAACTGGCTGCATCTTCTACGAGCACATGGCTTCCTCCACCATTTGGGCGCTTCAAGTGTAATGTGGATGCTTCGCTTCTAGGTGACAGGTTGGGATTTGGTGCTATTATTCGTGATCATTCTGGAGACTTTATAGCGGCTTATGGAGGGTTATTACATTGTGCTCGGGATCCGTATGTTGCTGAGTCTATGGCCGTAAAGGAGGCACTGGCATGGTTGAAGGAACGAAATGTGTCTCACATAACTATTGAGTCAGACTGCTTGAACTTTTGCAAGAACTATAATTCTGTCTCTTTAGATTTATCATATGTTGGTCTAGCTAGTTTTAGAGCAATGTCGTGAACTTGCTCGTGTTATTGGTGACGTTGTTGTTAGCCATGTTCGTAGGTCAGCGAATCATGTTGCTCACGTTCTCGCGCGGGCGGCAGTTTCATCCTCTGTCCTTGGTGTGTGAGATATTATTCCACCCAGTTGTATTTGTGATTTGTTGTGATGAATGCAGTTTGTTTGGTTTTCAAAAAAAAAAAAAAAAAAACAGATTGCACCGTTGAAACTTTCAAATTAACAATGTAAATAAATTTCCTATTATTAGATATCAATTAAAGAAATTTCTACCTACACTCAAACTATTATAATGGAAATTTTAAAGAATTCTAATATAAAAATAAATTCATATGGTTGATTCTATGAATGTACATTAATATAAAGATAAATTTATTTTTATAATGTACGTTTTTAAAAGATGTTGTGAGAATTTAATGTACCTTTTTAAAAATAAATTTATCTTTATCTTTACATCAAACTATTAATGTACCTTTGATTCTACACTCAAACTATTATAAAAGAAATTTTATTTTTTAATGATCTGTCATTTCCTCATTCACCGCTGGTGTATAGCATATATACACCGACGGTGCATCAAATATTAATCTTAAATTTTATACGTGCATCGCACGCGAATCGCACGTGCGTCGCAGGGTAATTAATTAGACAATTATTTACTCAAATTTAAGCAATGATAACATGCATCATAAAACATAATTGATTAAACTCATTTTATCAATTATACTATATAATACTCCTATTTTCACCCAAGAATATATATTGGGCGAATTCGAAACAAACTATGAATATTTTACTTTGGTCCTCATTACTCCACTATTGGACAATTAGCTAAACCATATTAAGCCAGATATATTTTTAGACTAGAGGAGGGTATATATTGCTTAGCCTGCTGTCGAACTCTCCTTTTATACTCCACCGTGTCCTGCATTCAAACGAGACCATAAATTGTGAGTCTCTCCAAAAAAAGTCCGCATAGAAATGGCTATATTGTGTATTCATTTCAGATTTTTAATTTTTTTTTTTGCTCTTTTCTGGCAAAAGGCATCTTTAAAAAAGTAATTGATAGAGAATGCATTTCCTTTTGGAATTTGAATAGAAAGGAATAAATTGTTTTTCTAAGTTACAGAAAAAAATAGTACCCCTTTGAAAACTTAAATAATTAACTTTTTAATTGGCTCTGGATTGAACTAAATTTAGCTGCTTGAGCTCAACTCAGCTTGATTACACCCCTAAGTCATTCTAAAAAGTCAAACGAAATAAAGGGTAAACTAAGAATAGTAAAGAAAAAAATGATGGTATTTAAATTTAAAAGTGGATATTGTTTTAGAATAAATTTAAAAAAAAAAAAAAAAAAGAAAGAGAAAGATGACAAATAAAATGAGAGAGAGATAATAGTATGTAAAGGAATGTTAGCCTTACTCATTAATGATATGATATATTTACTTTTGAATTGGTTGGTTTTGTTCTCAAAGCAACTAGTATTTTAGCCATTATTGTCAACAAGTATGTAGGGATAGACAATTGATTTAGTAGGTTGGAGTTACTAAATTCCCTATCCGATTTATTCTTATACTTACTTTTAGTATGCGGACGTTTAAAAACACATTGCATACTTCTTTATCAAATACTGAAATCTACTATGGATATCCATAACTTTTTTATCTTATTATAAGTAATTTCAAAACTATTTATATATGTATTAAAATCTATAATCTTATCTTCCTAAGATTATTTTCTTTTTCGGTGGCATTGCATGCAGCAAACAAATTTGACAGTTGGATAACTAATTTAACGGCCAGTGTTGGGACTGGTATATAATGCTAAAAACAAACATTTCTGCCGATCATTTTTTTGCGTAAAACTGCTACTTTCGGTTACAATAATTTTCATCACTCTCAAACAAAACCAACAACCTAACCCAGGCCATTTTCATCATCTCCATTGTTGTCGTCTCGACCTCGTACATACTCTTTGTCAATTAACATCTATCACTCACTCTCTCAGAACCAAAATCAACAAAAAGTTTTTATATTACATACACCCATTATTTAATTCTTTCTTGATTACTATTAGAATATAGAATATTAGCAATGTTATTTTTGGTTGTAACTATTCGTTTCCTTTTCTTTCCTGATCTTTTGGTATTTTATTTCCTTGGCTTTGTATTTTTTCTTTTCTGTCATTAGCTTTCTTGGAGCAGAGGACAACCCTCTTTGTATATATGTGCTATATTTTTATCAATTTGAAAGGCAAGGTTGATTTTTCCCTTCATTCAAAACTCTTGATTTATTATGGCATCAGGGCCTTCAAACAAAGAAACAGAGAGTGAGAAGAAGGCTGCTATCATCACCTACGTAGCTTCTTCTTATGCTTTGAACTCCAATGACAACCCGGGTAGTCTAATCACCCAGGTTCAATTGAAAGGAGAAAACTATGATGAATGGGTGAAGGCCATTCGCATAGCTCTTAGGGCCAAAAAGAAGTTTGGCTTTGCAGATGGAAGCATTCAACAACCTGCAGAAAACTCACCAGATTTGGAAGATTGGTGGACAGTAAACTCCATGATTGTCTCATGGATTTTGAATACTATTGAGCCTACTCTACGGTCTACTATAACACTTAAAGAAAAAGCAGTGGATCTATGGGACGACATAAAACAACGATTCTCAATCGCTAACGGGCCTCATATTCAACAATTGCGTTCAGCCTTAGCAAATTGTAGATAGAATGGTGAGTCAATTGCAAATTACTTTGGACGTCTCAAATTGCTCTGGGACGAACTCAACAACCTTGAACGGGTGCCTGTATGTACATGTGGAGGGTGTAAATGCAGTCTGAGCATCCAATTGGAGAAACGAAAGGAAGAAGAACGAGTTCATCAGTTCTTGATGGGCCTTGATGGAGAACGGTACAATACCATTCGTTCCAATATTCTGAGTCAAGACCCATTACCTAATCTCAATCGAACTTATCATATGGTTGTTCAAGATGAACAAGCAAGGACGATAGTGAGTACACATGACAATCGTTCAGACCCCGTAAGCTATGTAATGCGAGCAGGACAAGGAAATCGTGTTACGCTAAGAGGGGGGGGGGGGGGGGGGGGGGGGGCAAAAAGGATGGAGTGACATGTGGACACTGCCACCGCACCGGGCATGATACAGGCGAATGTTTTCAACTCATTGGATACCCTGATTGGTGGGGTGCTAAACCACGATCTAATGGTCGAAGTGGAAGTCGGGGCACTCAACAACAGATTGGACGAGGAAAAAGTGCAACACCAAGAGTCAATGTAGCCCAAGCTGCTGTAGGTGAAATCCCTTCTTAAGCTGTCTCGATGACAAATACAGAACAGACTGCTATTGGAGGACTTTCAAAGGAACAATGGAGTGCTCTTTTGGCAGCTCTTAGTGTCCATAAACCTGAAACCAACCAACGTCTTTCAGGTAACTTACCATGGATTATTGACACCGGAGCGTCAAACCATATGATAGGGACACTCAATCATATGACGAATGTGAGGACAATTGAACCATGTCCTGTTGGGCTGCCGAATGGAGAAGAAACTTATGCAGCAAAGCAAGGCACTATGGTGCTTGGTGAAAAATTGAGGCTGCAGAAAGTTTTATTTGTGCCTAAATTAAACTGCAATTTAATTTATATATCTCAACTCTTGGCTGATTCGCCCTATCATGCTCAATTCACTGACAAATTTTGTGTTATTCAGGACCGCACCTCGAAGACGCTGATTGGAACGGGTGAACAACGGGGGAGACTTTACTTCTTGAAGAAGGCAGAATCCATGCAAATCAATAATGTTTTCAGTTTATCGCAAGCAGAGTTGTGGCATCCATCACCTACAGTTATGAATTTTCTTCCTAATTTTGAAGATGGTAGTAGTTTGAATAATAGACACTGTGAAGTTTGTTTCCGGGCCAAACAAACTCGTGAACCTTTTTCTTTAAGTTCTAATAAAGCAAGTTCAATTTTTGAGTTAGTTCATTGTGATTTGTGGGGTGCTTATAGTGTTCCTGCTCTATGCGGTGCTTATTATTTCTTGACAATTGTTGATGATTTTTCCCGTTCTGTGTGGGTTTATTTAATCCGGACTAAGGGTGAAGTTCCCGGGATCCTAAAAAATTTTGTTGCCTTGGTTCACCGTCAGTTTGGCAAACAAATTAAATTTGTTCGGACAGACAATGGGACTGAATTCACATGTTTGAAAAGTTATTTTGATAGTGTTGGGATTATACATCAGACTTCGTGCGTAGGAACACCCCAACAAAATGGTAGAGTGGAGAGAAAGCATCGACATATTCTAAATGTGGCAAGAGCGTTGCATTTTCAAGCTAATTTGCCAATTGAGTTCTGGGCAGAATGCATTCTCACTGCAGGCTATCTTATTAATCGGACACCCACTAAATTGCTCAAAGGTAAAACCCCTTTTGACATTCTTTTTGGGCGCTCACCTGATTATTCTCTTCTTCGTACTTTTGGGTGCTTGTGTTATGCGAAGAATGATGCTCGAATTAAAGATAAATTTGCAAGTCGTAGTCGTAAGTGTGTGTTTATTGGTTATCCATACGGCAAGAAAGGGTGGTATTTGCGTGATTTGGAAAGTGGGGAGCGATTTGTTTCACGGGATGTCCAGTTTCTTGAGACCATATTTCCCTTTTCTTCTTCACTTACTAAGCATCGTATGTCCCCCATGATTGAATATGTTGATGATCTTTCCAATGACCTTCCAGAGACAATTACTGAAAATGGGCTTGGGGATGATTTTTCTAATAATCTTCTAGCGACAATCGCTGAATCAGAAGTGTCCTTGACAGATGAAGTGACTAATATGAATGCAGCGAACTTACCCACTTCCAACTCTGCTTCTAGTGATGATGATGAGAACCTTGGTCGTGGAAAACGGGAAAAACGGGTTCCTACATATCTCTATGATTATGTCACGCACTTTGCTAGTCGCATATCCCCCCTACCATGTTCCACCTCTTCTAAAACGTCTTCAGGTACGATACATCCCATATCTCACTTTGTTAATTATGATAAATTTTCTTTGGCACATCGGCATTACCTTGCAGCAATTACTGCTGAGCATGAGCCCACATTATTCTCTGAGGCTGTACAAGCTCCTCATTGGCGAGAGGCCATGCGCCAGGAGCTTCAGGCACTTGAAGACAATGGCACTTGGATACTTGAGGATCTCCCTCCTGGTCATAAAGCCATTGACAGCAAGTGGGTTTACAAGGTTAAATATAATGCAGATGGATCGATTGAGCGCTATAAAGCACGACTTGTTGTCTGAGGAGATCGACAAATCGAAGGAGTTGATTACAATGAAACATTTGCACCCACCATTAAAATGGTTACAATTCGTGCCTTTCTCGCTGTTGCTGTTGCTCGTGGATGGCCTCTTTACCAAATGGATGTGAGTAATGCTTTCTTGCATGGTGATTTAACAGAGACAATTTACATGAAGCTCCCCCCTGGGTTTGTGTCCTCATGCCCGAACAAAGTTTGTCGTCTCCGAAAGTCTTTGTACGGTCTTCGTCAAGCTCCTCGGTGTTGGTTTGCAAAGTTGGCAGACTCTCTCACTAATTATGGGTTTCACCAGTCATCTTCTGATCACTCATTATTCACTTTCAATCACAATGGTGTGCAACTATATATTCTTATCTATGTAGATGATCTCGTTATCTCTGGCAATGACAATACTGCTGTGCATCATTTCAAGCTCTACTTGAGTAATTGCTTTCATATGAAGGATTTGGGCACATTGAAATACTTTCTTGGTCTCGAAGTAGCTCGCAACGAATCCGGTATTTTCCTTAGCCAACGAAAATATGCTTTTGATATCCTTGAAGAGACTGGTCTCTTGGGTGCAAAACCTGCTGCTGTCCCACTAGAGGAAAACCATCGATTGGCTTTAGCTAATGGAAAAGAGATGACCGATCCTACCAGTTATAGGAGGCTCGTTGGTCGGCTTATATACTTGACAGTTACTCGTCCAGATATTTGTTATAGTGTGCACGTTCTTGCACAATTCATGCATAAACCGCAGGTTCCTCACTGGGAAGCTGCACTTCGTGTGGTGCGTTATTTGAAGGCTAATCCAGGGCAGGGGCTTTTCTTTCGGGCTGATTGTGATCTCCGTCTATATGCCTATTGTGATGCTGACTGGGCTGGTTGCCCGCTCACTCGTCGCTCATTGACTGCTTATTTTGTTCTTCTAGGAACTTCCCCGATTTCATGGAAAACTAAGAAGTAACAGACTGTCTCGCGCTCCTCTGCTGAAGCTGAGCATCGTGCAATGGCTGCGACAACAAGTGAATTGAAATGGTTAAAAGCACTTCTCCTTGATCTTGGTATTTCTCATGCTACACCAATGCAATTGTATTGTGATAGCCAAACGGCATTGCACATCGCTCGTAATCCAGTCTTTCATGAGCGAACCAAACACATTGAAGTCGATTGTCATTTTATTCGTGATGAAGTTCAGTTTGGTAATATTCAACCCTCTAATGTTCATACTTCTATGCAAGTGGCAGATGTTTTGACCAAGGCCTTGGGCAAGCCTCAGTTTAAGTTTCTTTTAAGCAAATTGGGCATTCTTGATGTTCATGCTCCAACTTGAGGGGGGTATTAGAATATAGAATATTAGCAATGTTATTTTTGGTTGTAACTATTCGTTTCCTTTTCTTTCCTGATCTTTTGGTATTTTATTTCCTTGGCTTTGTATTTTTTCTTTTCTGTCATTAGCTTTCTTGGAGCAGAGGACAACCCTCTTTGTATATATGTGCTATATTTTTATCAATGAAAGGCAAGGTTGAATTTTTTCCTCATTCAAAACTCTTGATTTATTAATTACAGCAAATTAAAAAGATTTTTTTGTTTGTTTTAAAGAAATCATTATTATATATTCTCATTATTATATTATAAATAATGGGAAGGAATATTCCTTGGTACCATGATTACAATTATAATCACAAAAAAACACCCTGTCGTACTATCTCTAACGTTTTTGATCGCATGCATCGCCGCGACAATCGCCGTAGTTTGGTCCCTGTGCGGCGCCTTGTCGCGGAAGAAGCCACCCGGAGGTCCGGTGGACGAAGACGAAACGCCGCCGTCGCAGAAGAGAAACCCAGAAAAGTTGGCATCATCTTCCTCGGCGAAACTCGAATTCTTTACACCACTAACCCCGCGCAGCCAGAGGTGGAGAACGGCAACGGGGTTTCACGGCCATTGCTGCCGCCGCCGTCGATGATGATGATGATGATGAGGCAGGGGTCGAGGAGGGGGGACAACAGCAAGATGAAGTACTTGAAACACGAGGATTCGGTTTGGAAGAAAGCGATCATCTTAGGTGAGAAGTGCAGAGTCCCAGACGAGGAAGAGGAGGCAATTGTGTACGATGAAAAGGGGAACAGGATCTCCACGTATCATCCCAGAACCAAGTCCAATATTAATGCATTCGAGATAATATTATTGTCGAGGCAGAATTCCATTGCTGAATTCTAGGTAGGAAGGAATAGGAATATAATGGGTATGTAATTCGATCCGCTTTTTGTTTGATCGAAGACGTACTATATAAAGTCGGGTCAATTCTGTGGTTGCCCAGGAATGGAATGAAATGGACTAAAATATAGAGACTTTTAAAATTTGGATAAGAATATCGATGGTTGAGGTTGACCGTCCTTAACAAAATTATATAAAAAAATATGACTCAGGCTTTATACGTATACATCACATCCCACCACAAACATCCTCTCCCTCCGTCGTATACATACATATGATATACATTCTCTCTCTCCTCTGTCGTATACATACATCCCATCTCCATCCTCCTTCTCCACCTAATACACACCCAGCATACTGTTTTCTTCTCCATTCTTCTTCTCCACCTAATAAGCTAAATTCAAAAATCTACACAAAATTCATGTATCAAGCTAAATTCTTTGAGCATCTGCCATTATATCATTTCAATTCACATGATAATTAAAAAAAATTGAGTGGAGAAAGCAACTCTTTTCTTCTAATTTTATTTTATCAACTTTTCAAGAGACAAACAACTCACGTAGTAGTGACAACCAGACATTTTTTCCACAACTAGACATTTTTTCCGGTGATCAGTTCGACCAGAGAAGGCAACCCAGAAAAAGCGACCTGAGGTTGCCCCCTCACAGGAAGAAGGCGAACTGGTCGAAAGTTGCTTTCCCATAGGTGAGTTTTTTTTTTCTCGGATCGTTGAATCGATAAGAACAAAAAAAAAAATGAAACAACAAAAATAAAATAAAAAAATTAAAAGACTACTGTCTCTGACGAGGCAGCAGTCCTGTCTAGTCAGAGACCGTACTTATGCATACTGTACAGTTCGTGAATATTTATGCAGTACTTATGCATGTGAAGGTGAATATTTACTTTTACACACAAAGCTGCAAAAGTGAATATTTATTTTTATATCATTGTGCTGTGAAATGTAATTTTATACGCAATGTTGATGCAGAGAATATATTCCCTGAAAAGAACAGAATGAAATGCCTTTGAATTGAAATGTTTGAAATGACTATAGAGATTAGCATATTTTTATAGAAGATATCAATATTATTTAAACACACACAACACATTCAATTCCTCAACCTATTCAATTCCTCACGATATCAACTTTACTTATTTACTCCAACTTCTTCTTCAAGCGCTTGCAGAATATTGCCGGTATGATTGAATTTCTTTAAATTGTTTTTATATAAATCATAATGTATCTATTATACTTACTACATTAATATTTTGCAATGTAGGTGTTGAAGACTATGTCATTGTTTCAGTATACTGGGGTGGCGAGGTAATTCGTAATGAAACCGGATGTCAAATTGGTTACACAATACCTCCCCAAAGATCAGTATACGTACATCGCCAATCCTCATTGTCGGATGTGGTTGTCATGATATGCAACGCAATGGGGGAATCTCCTGCCACAATATTAGAGTTAACTGCGAGATTGTTAATGTACACTCAACAACAAGGTTTATTCCACGTGCAATACCCTATTGTCAGTGACGAGTCATGGCTTTATTTTGTAAATCAGACGTCACGTTTAGGGGAATTGCATGTATATGTTACAGCAACACCTACAACAATGAATACAAGTTTCATGGGCTTATTGACAGGGTTAACACAATTTTCGGGAGGTGTACATGCTAGCGACACAAATTATTTTTCCCCTCTTCCAGAGGACGACATTGGGGGTGGGAGTTCGAGTTATAACATTTGTAGCTCATCAGAACCATTTGTTGATTTCTCCCATTATGCTCAAACGAAACAACATTCTGATTCTTCCACTTCCCGTAGTGAAGAGGAAAAAGAACCAAGTACTGATCACTCAGATGGTGAAGACCAAAGTATGTCTCAAAATGTGTCATTTACCTTTGACGCAGACGAAAATGAGATGACTCCTCAACAACCATTGCGAAGAGGCAAATCTCCCATTCCAGATGCTGATATTCCATATTATCATACCGGCTTCTCGTTTGGCCAAGGGTACCGAGAGCATGATGATGACTATACGCCTCGGTATACTCCAAAAAAAATATTTTACAAGTTGGCATGGTATTTGATGGGTACGAGGAATTGAAAAAAAGCGGTGTCTTTGCACAGTATAGTGGAAGGAAAGCAATTCAAAACAGCATTCAAGGACCGCAAATGTTGGAAGGCAATTTGTTTGCACCACAAGGGTGGTGAGCAACCATGCCTTTGGTCCTTGTCAGCAAGTAAAATGTGTGGTACGAGCACTGAGTGGATCATTAAAAAATTTGAACCTACTCACAAATGTAGGGTGGATTACACCCACGGTGGTGATGACCGCAATTGTACCAGCAAATTCATAGCTGATTTACTCACAGAAAAATTAGTTGTTGATCCTGGATACAAGGTCAAGAATATCCAGGCAGATGTGAAAGAGAAGTATGGGATCACTGTGTTGTACAAGAAAGCTTGGTATGCCCGTCAAATAGCGATTCAAAGCATTTACGGAGAATGGGATAAGTCATACGATGACTTGCCCAAATATTTGCGATCACTAGTGAGAACGAACTCAGGGTCGGTTATTGACTTTCATACGACAAGGTCAACAAGGGGTCGTAATTACTCTGAGTTCAAATATGCATTTTGGGCTTTGAAGGCAGCTATTGATGGTTTTCGTTATTGCCTTCCTGTAATTACCATAGATGGTACACATCTATATGGTAAATACAAAGGGCATTTACTGTTGGCTGTGAGTATGAATGGAAACAATGAAATTTTTCCATTGGCATACTCTATTGTCGATTCTGAGAACGGCAATAGCTGGACTTGGTTTTTGCAATTATTGGCAACACATGTGTTTCCAAACCATGAGTCCGTATGCATAATTTCGGACAGACACCCAGGCATTGATGTTGCATTTAATGACTTGCCACAACTACACCCGTCACGCGTGCACCGCCGATACTGCCTACGACATCTCCGCAGTAATGTCATGACGAAGTTCAAAAACAAGAGTCTCAAATCACTGATATGGGAAGCGGGTAGTGCGGTAACAAGATTGGATTACCAGAAGGCAATGCGAGCTATAGAGGATAAGTGGCCCCAAGCATACCAATATTTGTCCGAAATCCCGAAAGAATCATGGGCATTGTCTTACGACGGTGGTTACAGGTTTGGCATTATGACTACCAATAGCTCAGAATCCTTCAACAATACATTAAAGGGTTGTCGAATGTTGCCTGTAACTGCTATAGCTCGGCTAACATTCAACAAGTTAGTTGCTATGTTTGTGAACAGGCGTGCAGCTGGGGAGGTAATGCAACAAGCAGGCTTGCATTGGCCAAAGAATATTTCTAAAGAGATGTCAAGGAGGGAACAATTCAAGAACAATGCCACCGTTAAGCCATATAATCACCAGATTGGGCTTTACGAGGTTGCTCTTGATAGGCCGTGCATTTCTCAACCCAACGTAAGATTTCATGAACTTAATTTGGAGCAGAAGACATGCACATGCGGTGAATGGTCGGTAAATGGCTTGCTTGCGCTCATGTCTTAGCAGCATGTCATTTCAGGAGAAGTGTCCCAGACTCCTTTGTGCCTGTAGTGTTTACTTTAAACTATTATAGAATGTGTTATGCAGGTGACCTCTATCCAGTGACAAACGAAGAGCATAATCAAAACAGTAGGGTAATTACCCTACCACCCTCAAATGCGCGCCACAAAAGTCATAGAGGACAACAACAAAGGAGTAGGTTTCAAAATGAAATGGACTATGGGAGGCGTCATCGTTGAAGAAATCGTCAAGAAAAAGAACTCATAGTAAGGCTCCTGTATTTTTTTTTTCCTTTATCATATGTTAAATTCAATGTTGTGTTGTTTAAAAAAAAAATCAATGTTGTGTTTTTCTAATTTAATCGTTATGAATCCAATTTGCATTACTATAATTGTTTTTTATTATGGAATTCAAAATATTATAATTATTTTATTATTAATACATTTAATTTATTATTAATTTAACAATATTATAAATTGTTATATTAAATAATGTTTTATAGGTTACGTCAATGATATTTATAATATTAAATTAAATTATATTGAATTACTGATATACATCATAGTACATACCTCAAGAATACATACGCATATAATTAACAATATTAATATACAAGAGTACATACGCCAAGAATACATACGTGATACGCCTGCAAAAGTGACAGCTTTAAAGAAAAGGTGGCAACTTTTGTATTCTTATCCCAACTTTTTTTTCTCGATATTCTTGTCCATGTGTTTGTCTTTATCGACAAACCAAGCTATGTCTCTGGAGTTATGTGTATGTATGTGAATAATATATAGAACTTTGAATGAAAAATTATTACAAGGTAGTATCTCAATTACAGCCCAAAGAATCAAAATTCCACCACCGGATTTGATCCTGTGACCTTCCTACAGAGGAAATCATAAATGTGTCATCTGTGGCATATATAATTTATATACTTAATTGCATGCAATATAGTAATATTCTTGACACAACATTCTAATAGTTGCAATTATTAGGATTCCGTATTCTAGGTCCATCTATTAGAATTCATTCTTCCTGGCCTCTCCCTATATATATTATTGAATTAATTTCATTTTTGGTCCCACGACTTTTGAGTTCTTATCACTTTTGGTGCACAACTTTAAATTTTTTCAATTTTGGTGTCTAACTTAGTTATTTTTATCATTTTTGGTCCTTCCAGCCAAATTGACGGTAAAATATTTCCGGATTTTATATTTTAGGGGCAACATCGTTATCTCATAGAAAGATCTTCAATATTTAAATAAAAGAAAAATCATATTAAGAGTAAAAGAAGAGTTTGTCAATCGTCGAAACTATAAATCCCCATAGATCTGTTTGGTTTCTGCTCGTCTTCTCCATTATTCTCATCATCAAACACCTATAGATATGATTTTACAGTGATTTTGGGATGACAATTTTACCCCTAAAAATATAAAATCCAGCAACATTTCGCTGTCAATTTGGCCGAAAGGACCAAAACTGATAAAAATAACAATGTTAGGCACCAAAATTAAAAAATTTTAAAGTTGTGCACCAAAAGTGATAGAACATCAAAAGTCGTGGGACCAAAAGTGAAATTAATTCTATATTATTAAGAATATTACCATTTATCATACTATCTTAACTTAGACTCTTTTATCCTTATAAATACAATCTCTTCATTATGTACTTTACATAATTATGGATTGGTCAATAATAATATCATTCTCAGAATTATTATTTTCTTCGAGCTAGATAGCCATCATGATTTAGTGTATAAGAAGTATCATACTTTACAGTAGACCTGGCAATTATCGACACGACCCGTTAACACAACACGAAACCGGACACGAAAATAACGGGTTAGTGTTTAGCCTTAACTTGTTCCGGGTCATTAACGGGTTGACCCGTTAAAGACCCGTTATGTTTCATGTCTTAACGGGTCAACCCGTTAAACCTATTAAGAACCCGTTAATATTGTCGTGTTAACCTGTTAACACGAACCCGTTTACTCAACATGTTTATAACCCGCTAAGAACCATTGTCATGAATGAGATTACAAAAGATATTATGAACATGGCTAAGGATGAATTTACTACATTAGGCCAAGATCCTATGCACCAATTATTGATGTTCAATAATTTGAAATTTGAATTTTTATTGTGTTCAATTTTATAATAAAAACTAGTATGGAGTCCTTTAATTATGATTTTTGGATGTTATTTTATCATTTTATGAATGTTATGAATTGAATATTTTAAATTTCTTTAATAGATTGAACTGTAGGTTTTATTTCTTTTTTATAGAACTTAACTTTAAATTTTAGTTTTTTAAATATATTAATAGAAATAGCAGGTTTAAACGAGTTTCGTGTCATATCGTGTTGACACGACTTGAAACCTGGCAACAAAACATGTCTATCGTGTCAACCCGTTTAACCCGTTAACAAATAGTGTTCGTGTTCGTGTTAAAAATTTGATTGAACCCGTTAACCATAATGTGTCGTGTCCATGTTTAGCCTTATCGTGTTCGTGTCGACCCGTTAACGGACCCGTATACACAAATTGCCATGTCTACTTTACAGCGATAAGGTCAGGGTGAGGTTTGATATTTTTGCCATGAACATTGAGATTTGGAAGTTTGGGTTCATGTTGGCCTCCGTATACATAAAAGTATATAGTTTAGTGTTTAGTCTTGATTCTGATCTTAAAGCTAGATTAACTTAATTTACATCCTCATGGGCTTGGAGGTTCATAGGTCTAGGATGTAGCATAGCGAAGATAGAAAAATTGGGTTATTAAGAAAAAAGTATTTTGCTATATGGTTACAGCATTTTGATCTCTTTACAAATAATATATCAATGAATATAAATATCACATCAATAAATATTTAAATTGAGAGTTTGACATATAGTCATGATTATGGTTTAGTTTTAAGAGATGTTTAGTTGAAAAATTAGCAAGTTTTATAATAGATTTGAGATATTGGTGTTATAAATATGTAGTTAACAGATTATCTGCATGCAATTAACCTATGATATATGTCTATCATCGACATATTATATATTTATAGTACCAACATTATTTCTGATTACGAGGAAAAAACACAGTTTATGTAAATTATGAAATGACATCATTTTGAATCAGGATCCACCAAATAATGATTGCTCATACTCAACCTACTACTATTTTTCTTGAGTTCTACTATACATACTATAAAATTCTACTCCCTGATGTGGCAAACAATGATTGGTTATTTTCATCATATGAATCCATAAAAAGTGTCTACATCAAAACTTGTGAGGCAAATTATTGTGTGGACTATGAATATCAGGTACATTTTTAATATATTAAAAGTACATTATTTTTGTACTGAAGGTACATTATATAAAATAATGTACCCTTAGTATATTAAAAATGTACTTTCAAAAAATGTACCTTATGTACATAAATAATGTACCATTAGTGTATTAAAGATGCACTTTTTATTTATGATCTACACAATTGTGCGGATCATGGTCCATGCAATAATGATTGAACTTGAGAGAGGGAATAAAAATTGATAGTATAAGGGAATGGCTTCGAGTCTCTTACATGGTGTCTCGGTAGCAAGGGGTGTTCCGGCTATTTCCCACCTCCTATTTGCAGACGACTGCTTTCTGTTCCACCGGGTGACCCAAAGTGAGAGCGTGCATATGAGGTATGTGTTGGATGTTTATGCCAAAGCTTCTTGCCAGCACATTAATTATGATAAGTCAGTCGCTTGCTTCAGTGCTAATGTGCCTCAGAATGTCCGAAACGAGGTTGTGGACATTATTGGGGTGGAGGAGGGTGAGACAAGCGGGAAGTATTTGGGCCTGTCCTCATTAGTGGGTAAAAGGAAAAAAGCCATTCTTGGCTTCCTTAAGGACGGTATACTCACTAGGATTCGCTCCTGGAACGCCAAGTTCCCTTCTCGAGCGAGAAGGGAGGTTTTACTGAAAAATGTGATCCAGACAATGCCGGCTTTTGCAATGACGGATTTTTTACTGTCCCAAGGTTTGTGTCGTGAGATGGAGGTTATTATGAACCAATACTGGTGGACTTGTCGGGTTGATAACTCTACATGAATAAAGTGGCGCTCTGGGAGGGATTGTGCTTGCCCAAGGCAAAAGGAGGGATGGGGTTCCGGCGGTTACATGAGATGAACAAGGACTTACTGGGAAAACAGGGTTGGCGACTGATTACTATGCCTTCTACTCTTGTTACCCGTGTGTTCAAGGCACATTGTTACCCTATATGTGGTTTCTTCGATTCCAGTGTGGGAAACAACCCGTCATATATTTGGAGGAGCTTGTGGGAGGTCCAGGACTGTTTGAAGGAGGGATGTAGACGGGCAGTTGGCAATGGGGATGACACCTTCATTGGCACTGATCCCTGGTTGCCTGTTGATAATAACCCGTACGTCGAAACCGTGTTACATCCGACTGTGCATGATGCCCCGATGTCTTCTCTTATGAACAGGCATGGTACGGGGTGCGATGTGGAGTGTGTGAAGGATATTTTCACTGACCGGGATGCAAACTTGATCTTAAATATTCCTCTTAGCACTCGGAGACCACCTGATCGTTGGATTTGGCATTGGGACGACAAGAGTGCTTATACGGTGAAATCTTGCTATAAGCATCTAACTACTGTTGCGGGGGATGATCATCCTTGGGCTAAAATTTGGAGTTTACATATACCTCCCAAGGTGAAGAGTTTTTGTTGGCAGTTGGCATCAAATTATCTTCCAACTCGGGATATTTTAAATTCTAAACATGTTGCATGCATTTTGGACTGTCATATGTGCAAGAATGTGGCCGAAATAACCCTCCATTTATTCATACATCGTACTGAGTCAGCAAGCATTTGAAATAAACTGGGAATGGCCCATATTTCTGGTTTTGCTGGTAATAATTTTCATGATTAGTTTTTCTGGGCTATATCTTCGTTGAATGACTCTGCTTTGCCTAATTTTGTTATGGTTTGCTGGGGGCTATGGGGTAGCAGGAACGAAAGGGTATGGAATGGTCTTGGCTTTGATTCAAACACGGTGGTTCACAGGGCTTTGCCGTTTCTGGAGAATTGGAAGTTGGCAAATGAGGCATCTACCCAGTTCAGTGTTGTTGCCGGCCATCCAACACGCTGGTCTAAACCTGCGTTGGGGAGGATTAAGCTGAATTGTGATGCAGCGATATGCCAAGGGTCTATTGTCATGGGAATAAGTTGGGTTTTGCGCGATGACGAGGGGAAGTTTCTAGCTGCCAAGAACACAGTAGTACCGAGGAATTACCTGGTGAAGGAGGCTGAAGCTTTGTCTATTCGCGAGGCCCTGAGTTGGTTAATAAGTACAAGTATGGGGAGTGTGGATGTAGAAATGGAGTCACAAGTCGTGTTTAACGCTCTATTTTCTTCATCTTTCAGTTCTGCGTTTGGTCTTTTGATAGATGATGTAAGAGGTTTAGCATCCGCAATTGGGGATGTTGAATTTCATTTTGTAAAGCGATCTGTGAACTGTACCGCCCATGTCATTGCACGAGAGGCCTTTTTGGTGTCAGGTTGCGGGGAGGGGCTGGACTCTGCTTTGCTGTTCCTTGTAAACATTCTCGAGCTTGATTTAATGGATTAATCCCTTTTCTTCAAAAAAAAAAAAAATTGAGAGTATAAAATGAGAGTCCACCAAGTATTTTTTTTTTTTTTCATATAGTAGTTGAATTGGGCTTATTATGAATCATTAATTAACTGAAACTTCGAAATAGCCCAAAAAATAGAACTATAAAATCAAATCGGTCAAATATAAAATTTTGGAGCATTATTGGGTAGATCATGGTTCAAAACGGCGTTGTTTCTTTAAGTGAAGAAACGACTGCCATTACATCTTTACAAAGCTCGTATTTATTGTGTGTTTATGACAAAGTGAAACTACAATGTATCTAAAATGAAACTGTAATTGAATTGATATGATACTTTACTTGTGTTGAAATGAAACTGCAGTATATATAAAATTAAACTGAATAATATGTCTCATATATTGAGTGTATATTATCAAATAGAACTGTAGTTGAATAGAAATGATATTGTAGTTGTGTTGTAATGAAACTACATTGTATACAAAATGAAACTGAATAACAGTTTCACATATTTGAGTGTATATTATCCAATGAAACTATAGTTATATCGAAATGATACTGTATTTGTATTTTAATGAAACTGCAGTAGTGTATATAAAATGAAACTGAATAACAGTTTCACATATTTGAGTGTATATTGTCCAATGAAACTGTAGTTATATCGAAATGATACTGTAGTTATGTTGTAATGAAACTACAGTGTATATAAAATGAAACTGAATAACAGTTTCACATATTTGAGTGTATATTGTCCAATGAAACTTTAGTTATATCGAAATGATATTGTAGTTGTGTTGTAATGAAAATGCAGTGTATATAAAATGAAACTGAATAACAGTTTCACATATTTGGGTGTATATTGTCCAATGAAACCGTAGTTGAATTAGAATTATAATTTAATGGTCTTGTAATAAGACTATATTGTGTATAAAATGAAATTTAATAACATGCCTCACTGTAATAAGACTATTGTATGTATAATGTCGAATAAAACTGTAACTAGAACAAAATGAAACTACAATGTATATAAAATGAAACTAAATATGTTATACAAACAAAACTACTTTACGTGGAATGGGTGCCGTTTCTTTTTATTAAAAGAAACGGCACCGTTTTGGACCATGGTCCACAATGCTTTGTGAACCATGGTCCGCGGTATAATTTGCCCTGTGTTGAACATAAATATAAAGTATATTATTTGTTTACATAAAATACATTATTTGAATATTGAAAGTACATTATTTTGTATACTATCAAATAATAACATGATGTACATTCAGTATATAAATAATGTACTTTTAGTATATTAAAAATGTATCTTATATTTCGAGAAATACATTATTTGAGTACGAAAAGTACATTATTTTATATAATGTACATTTAGTACACAAATAATATTTTTTTAGTATATTAAAAATGTATTTTTTTTTATGATCCACACATCAATGTGTGGACCATGGTCTACATAATAATTTCAAAATTTTTAGACGGTTCAAATGGTCAATTTTCAATAATTATCGATTATCTAATTAATTAGTCAGTACAATTTTTTCAGCCCTAATCAAGTCTAATGAGCTAACTATTTTTTTTTTTTTTTTTTTTTTTGAAAACAATGAGCTAACTATTAAATTAAACTTGAAATATATGTACAAAAATAAAATAGTTAAAGTATTAGAAAAGTAAAGGTTACTTGTAAATAAATTGTACCAAAATGCACTAACATGTTTGAACCCCCCCCCCCTCCCCACCCACCCAAAAAAAAGGGCATTTTTTAGATTTTTTTAGTATTTGACTATCAACGAAAATGAAGCAATGAAAAATACTCATTCCTCCATTTTGGCCAATCGTTATGTCATGGAACCGTGTTCACCATTCATGGTGAACACGGTCCCAACGGTGTTAGTGCACCGTTATCTTTTTTTTTTTTTCTTAATTAATCACGTGACTTTTTTTATTCATTTTCACATTTCGCGGTTTCACTTTAATTTGAGGTGAGCAATGATTTCGGACATTTATAAATTATGAATCCATGCCTGCACATTCACTTTGGAACCATGCCTACACATTCCCGTCCGAAACCATGGCTGCTCCTCTGTAGCGCAAGCTTCTTCAACATTCATAAATTATGAATTTTCTGTTATGAGATTATGAATTTTGTGTTATGAGATTATGAATTTACAGTAAATTCATAATCTCATAACAGAAAATTCATAATTTAATAAATGTTTTTCTTTTATGCGATTATGAATTTTCTGTTATGAGATTATGAATTTACAGCACATTCATAATCTCATAACAGAAATTCATAATCTGACTAAACGCGCGCCGTTAACACCAGATTCGCGATTTTTTTTTTTTACGTAAAAACGACGCCGTTTGGACCCGTGTTCACCATTCATGGTGAACACGTTTTCAGGGCATAATTTGCCCTTCCCAAATTGGCGGGTTGGCCTATCATTTGTCTAGTTATTATTTAAACTGGATAAAACTAGCCCGTTTAAAATATTAATCTGATTGAGCTGGGCAAAACAATAAAAATCTTGACTTGACTCAGCCCAAAATCCAAACCATTTGATTCGTTTTTCTTAAATTTTTTTAGTTTAGACTTATTACATTTATCAATGATGGATTAAAATATGGATTGGGCTAAGACAGACCAAGCAATAAAAATTTTGACCCGATGAACAACCAAAAAAAAAATTAATAAAACTGTTGTGTTCTTCAATTATTACTTTGGTAAATCTGATCTAAATCTTCTTTCTTTGATTATTTTCTTTAGTATTTTCTTATAATTTTTAATTTTTGACATTTTCCGTTTAATAATATTTTTATATGGTATATTCTCTATAAAAAAATTAAAAATAAAAATCACTGTTTAATATTCATACCATGTTATGTAACGTTTTATCCGTTACTATTATTATAACATTAGGATAAGTTATGATAATATTCAGTATTTGATATGTGGTGCAACACTAATAACCTAATAGCTAGACTACCATTATGATTGGGAGTCTGATTAGGGTTTAGGAGACCTAAAGACATACAACCACAATGATGGCCAGTGGTTATATAAGGTCACTAGTCCTCTCACTGCTCACATTACATACCTCATATACCATCTAGAGAGAGCTGAGTAAAGTGAGAGACAAAATACTCATTATCTCTGCAGCAGTCCGGATCGCTCAACCAACTATGGCTAGAGGTTAGTCGGTCCTGTTATCACTTATTATATTATTATATGCATGTGATATATTTAGTCTAACATGTTATTGTTGCATTGAATTTATTTTGTATTTGATTATTACGTTGACTTTTTATTAACTTGTAATAAAACTAATCAATTTCACATACATTTTAACTTTTAAATAATTTATTCCACGACATTAGGGAGTAATTTTAGTACAAAAAATAATATATATTTTTTTGAAGGGCAAAAAATAATATTTTTAAAAATTTTACTTAGTTGAAACACTATTTCAAATTTACGGTTGGGATCCAACCATTATTGAAACTTGAAAGCAAAGCAAATACTAGTGTTGATTGACCTAAATTTCAAGTAATTATTCTTATTTTTTTAAAAGTAGTAGTATTATTGGGGAAATAATGTTCTTATTATTCCCGTTTTGGGGGAAGAATTGAATAATCCATGTTAATCCAACTCATATACATATTAGGACTCATATATAATTTAATTTTAATAAATATTTTACACAGTCCAAATCCTAATCAAAATAGGAACAGGTATTCCAATGGCGTATATAAATCCATGCTAGCCTACAAGCTCTGAACCATACCTCCAATATTTACTGATAATCTTCGTCAAGAATCAACATCCATGGAGCGAGATACTTACGACAATAGCGCGGAGTGGAATTCCAATTATCATGATGGCGTAGAGTGGGATTCCAATGACAATTATAGTGCGAGGTGGGATTTCAATGATCATAGTGCGAAGAGAGATTTCAATTACTATGACATAGAGTGGGAATCTAATTTCTATAATGACTTTGGTGCGGAGTGGGATTCCAATGACTATGGCGCAGAGTGGGAATCTAATTACTATAATAACCCTGGCGCTGAGTGGGATTTCAATGACTATGGCCCAGAGTGGGAATCTAATTACTATAATGACCCTGGCGTTGAGTGGGATTCCAATAACTATGGTGCAGAGTGGGAATCTAATTACTATAATAACCCTGGCGCTGGGTGGGATTTCAATGACTATGGCCCAGAGTGGGAATCTAATTACTATAATGACCCTGGCACTGAGTGGGATTCCAATAACTATGGTGCAGAGTGGGAATCTAATTACTATAACCCTGGCGCTGAGTGGGATTTCAATGACTATGGTGCAAAGTGGGAATCTAATTACTATAATGACCCTGGCGCTGAGTGGGATTCCAATAACTATGGTGCAGAATGGGAATCTAATTACTATAATAACCCTGGCGCTCGGTGGGATTTCAATGACTATGGCGCAGAGTGGGAATCTAATTACTATAATGACCCTGGCGCTGAGTGGGATTCCAATAACTATGGTGCAGAGTGGGAATCTAATTACTATAATAACCTTGGCGCTGAGTGGGATTTCAATAACTATGGTGCAGAGTGGGAATCTAATTACTATAATAACCTTGGCGCTGAGTGGGATTTCAATAACTATGGTGCAGAGTGGGAATCTAATTACTATAATAACCCTGGCGCTGAGTGGGATTCCAATGATATTATTTGGAATCTCATGCAGTTCCGAATCGCAAACAACGATTTGGGCTTGGGCGGGAGGTCGCTGGAGTTTTCGGCGGAAGAAGGGTTGGTGTACATGCCGCAATGGATGATGAACAACCTGGGCTTAAACGAAGGCGACCTCGTCGTCTGCTACGACGGCGAGATGTTTAAGGTTGACGTGGTGGAAACTCGACCGTCCGATGCTGTGAGCGTTGATTTTGACGAACCCTTGGAAGACGAGGAACCCGAAAAGCCACATAAAACTGAAGAA